CAACCCCTCCCGTCAGCTTGCCCCTGACGTTTACTTTTGAAGATCCAGGTGATCATCTCATGTTTAAAATTTACACTAACGATTCCAAGATGGGTGACGATGTGGGTGTCTCTTTTTTAGTTTACTCCGACTTAGTTCGCGAGCTTCACAACGCTTGCTTCCGTCAGAGTCGGTAGATTAACTGGTCTTTCGACTAATAGTTCAAACTTAGCTAGAGACAATATTTGCCGCTAGTCGGCGCCACTGTTAGCAGGAGATAGTTGTTCTTGCTAGGTATATACTGAAGTCAGTGATTTTGACCTATAATAATTGTTTTTTTAGCTCCATAAAAATGCCAACGTGCTTTGTGCCAGGATGCAAGGCAGGATATAAGTCATCGAACGAGAAGAGACATTTCTTCCGTGCTCCTAGCGATAAGATTGAGGAGTGGATGCGATGCATTCCACGAGACGACNGTATAAATTAGGGGCAACCAGGGGGCGCCATAATAGGATCTCGCTCCATCCTAAATCTTGCCTCGAGCCGGCACTGGCGACAACAACTGGAGTGTCGGAGCGCTGTAATGCGGTCCGACGGGTCAGAGGAGGGTCCAGATAACGACAAAAAAATACATACACTGATTGCGACAACAATTGGAGTGTCGGAGCGCTTTAATATCACAAATTTTTTCAGGTTTTCCGTAGATATTATGTAGAGTTTATTTTAACATGCTTTAGTATGTAGGTGTTACCGCTAAAGCTCGAAAGTCGTTAATGTGTACATTACCTAGCTAATCTGCAGATTAACTAGGGTGATCCCTTAAAGTTGCTAAAATTGCTTTTATTTCTCAAATTACCTACTAGGCACTCGGTAAAGTGAAAATACGATTTTTGCTGGAACAACAGCAACGTTTCTGTACGCTTAAATTAACATAATGTTCTTTATTTAATTTTCGATATGTAAAGAATCGAGTTAATACAATCAAAGAATCAACAAATTAGTTGATAGAATCAATCATCAACCAATTAAAAAACAAAAAATCAAATGGTTTAAAATATTAATACAATTAGGAAATTATTATATGGAATTTCGGGACTTTGAGTATCTATCTGAACTGAGGGGATTGAGACGACTTCAACGATACCCTACTTTTGGACCGGAGACGAAAAATAATAAAGTTATCATACTTTTTCTGGTGATCGCGTGATATAATTGTGCAGTTAATGTTACCTATGGTGAGTAAAATGGCGGCTCGTCTCTGATTCCAGCAAACAGAAGAAAGGAAACAGTGGGGACGCACGTTCTAACCTAACCTAACCTATTCTAATAAAATACAATAATTATTACCAACCAAATTATTAGAATAGGTTAGTTTAGGTTAGAACGTGTGTTCCCACTGTTTTCTTTCTTTTGTTTCCTGGAATCAGAGACGAGCCGCCATTTTACCCACCATAGGTAACATTATCCAATTGTGCAGTCTAAAGATTGGTGACATTTTGAATTTCATAGCAATTAGTTTCTGCGACAAGCACACCTATTTGTGGTACATTTATTTGTGGCAAATATCTTATTTGTACTTTACCGAGTCCAGAGTATCTAGATAATGTGCGGATTATCTAGAAACGCTGCACATTATCTAGGTAATTTGAGAAATGGAACAGTTTTCACAACTTTAACGGATCACCCTAGTTAATCTGCAGATTAGCTAGGTAATGTACACATTAACGACTTTCGAGCTTTAGCGGTAACATAGGCTCTATATTGCTGGAATTTTTTAAACTGTTAACAGATAATATGTAGAATTTATTTTGGTTAAATTATATAATTAATAACAGAGATGTAGCTTTTTTACGATTATCATTAGATGGAAGCTTAATCGTTTATTTATAGCCATATTTTTTAAATGTTTTTATTAATTATTATTGTTAGAGCCCAATTAATTAATTAATCCGTTTGTTTCTTTGGAATTTGAAATAATTATCGTGTTAGTTGTTTTCATTAAATATGAATTTATTATTATTAATCATCTATTCATTTTATTATTACTCAGGGTTAATTTAGAATAAGTGACGATTTCAGTAATATTTTAACTTAATTGGAGTTACAATCATTTTCTGATGCATGTATTTTCAAAAACATATGGGATTTTGTCCATTACTTTACAATAAAACTAAGATACTGTACACTTATTTTTCTTTCTGCGCGGTGGATACGTTCAAAATAACGCCATGTAAAAAAGAAATTGCGTAAAAAGTACGGTACATGCATTTAGTATGAAAATGCTCGATAGAATTTACAACTTTAACGAACAGATAAACAATTTACAAAAGCAACACGAACTTTTTTATTTCAGCATCATTTATCGTTAACATTATTTGTACTGTACATAAATATAGGAAACATACGCCATTCTCTGATATCGTACTGTAACGTACTTTAAAATGATAAATTAACTCTTGATTTCGACAAAATGTAACGTTTTTAACAATGACACAATTTTAACGAAAAGTTAAATTTAAAATTTTTCAAATTAACTATTTTCTCCCGTTTAAAAATGGGCTAGTCACGTGGAAGTTTTCCGGTTTTTATTCACTTTCCAGTAACACCTAAATACAGTAGTGGCCATTTTCCCATAAAAGTCCTTACGGGAGGCATGTCCTTCGACAGATCGTTCATGTGTCGCGTTGCTGTATACGAATAAAACAGACAATTGAATCTTTTTCCTCGCAGTCTAATTGTCTTATTTAAAACATAGAATAAAAAAATTAGAAAAATATTGTCAACCATTTCTTAACACAAACCAGAATATGTCATTTCTCTCAATTACAAAATGATAGAATTCGATTTAAGATTTTAATACTATTTATTGATGAAATACCGATATTAATAGATAGATTTTTGTATTTGAGCTCTCTTACTCAATTATATCATTTGAAAATGATGAAAAGATTTAATGAAAGGAATTTACCTCTTTTTCATTTGTAAAGTTTAGATTTCATCAATGTATATTGTGTTTGGTAATGAAATTTATAACTTAGCGAATAGTTGATAAAATCTGCTGAGAATAATCTTTAGATGAAGCATTAAATTTCAAAGGAAATAATTTCGATACCGTATTAACCTCTTTTTTTTAGTTTTTATCCTTTTAGCATAATACTTTAATGAGAAATTTCTGAGTGGCATATATTTTGTTTGAGATGCATATAGAAATTTGAATAAAGTGGCCGCGTTTCATGAGAGTTACTCAATTCAATTAATGTTACCCTAGGTATCGAACATGGCGTCGGTCGCCAACTCGGTCGGCGCTTCCGGCCATCTTGTTTGCGAACTCGGCGGCGGTTGCTCCGCCGCCCCCCCAAAAGTGAAACAAATCGAATTACGAAATATTATTATTATTTCGTAATTATTTCTTATTACTAAAACATAAATACATATATATAAAGTAAAAATAATGCGTAAAAATTTTTTTTTTACTTACGTTTGAATGCTTCTCTCTCTCTCTCTCTCTGTTTTTTCCTACTTTTTGCGTGATGTCTCGTTTTTCCTTACTTATTCCGCCGCCTTTTCTCTCTCTTCTTACTTTTATTAACGGGATCGGCGGGCACGGCCTCGGGCTCTTCCCATAATGGTAATCGAATGATTAACCGTCTCGTGGGTGATTTCTATGCCTTCCGGGTTGTCTATGTGGTTGTATTCCTTCCATTCGTCCGTCAAAACGGTGCTGCCTGAGTTTACGAATTTACAGACGATCCAGTTAAGCGTCGTTTCCGATCTATCGTTCGCTTGACATACAAAGCAGCTTTTGTCTTCTCGGCATATTCCGCCCGCTACCCACTTTGTGCTCTTCAGTTTACGGCCTTTTTCGTACTTGCGCTAACAGATAACCGTCTCGTCCAGTTCGACAGTTTTTCCCAGACCTCCGATTTTGAACGACAGGATATTGTGAAAAGCTACTAGCATCGCGAATCGGACGCGGTTCGACCAGTCGACGGCGGCCTTGTTAGCCGATACGGTAGTCGAGCAATCCAACGCTAGATAGTGCCACACAAACGACAGTATGCTACTCCAGGGAATTTTGCCGAATTCGCCTTTGAAAGTTCCTTCGAACGCCGAACTGTTGTTCCGGCATTTTTGACACTTCATTGCACACGATTTCCTATCGTCGCGATAAACGACTTTGCAAGGTCTCGAACATTTCGAGCAAACGTCGGCAACGTGCCGTAATCCTAGTTTTACCGCAAATTTGAACCTTCTGTCGATTCTGGGATTCAGACCCAATTCGGGATAGTCGCTTTAGAGAAGACGGAAAAAGTCCCGGGAGGTACATCCCCGCCAAAACTGTCCGGAGGCAACGTCCAAATGACTCATTCCGAAGAAAAATAACGAATGGGGAGGAAAAAACAAAAAAACGCCTTCGATTTAAACGAAATAAAAACAACTTCCTGTAACAAACCGACCTTCTTCTTCGTCGTTGTCGTCGTCACGCAAATCAAACTTTCGCACGCGCGCACGCCCCTTGTCCGTTTAGCGGAATTAATTTGCATAACCCGCCGCGTTAAAATTCAGCGCCCTCTATCGCAAGCGTCACTCGGTACCCCGATACGAGATTACCGGAAACGTCGCCATCTCGATACCTAGGGTAACATTAACCCTTAATTTAATATGCTTTACCTCAAAGGTATAGCTCTCATTTATATGGGGCGGCCGGGTAGTGAGGGACATATCCCTGTATAGGTAGGATCACCCCCAAAAAATTCCTGGGGATTTTTTGACCCGTATGGATACGATTCCAGGTTCTTCGGAGCGATAGGCTGCCACCTTGACCGCGTGGCATCCAGACGTCTACAGGATTAATAATAGTAAAATAAAGTTAAATAGTTTAAAAATAACTCTATTATATTAATTAATTAATATAAAAATTTTAAATTATTTTTATATTTTAGAAAATAAGTAAATCCATTATGAAATATTAAAAATACAGTATTTTTGCTTTGGCGAGTTTTGGGCTACGAAAGGTAAGTATCTTATTATCGTTACAGTAATTATCGGAATTCGGCAACTAATTTCTTTTATTCTAAGTCGCCATTTTCTTGTGTTTTGCCGTTTTATTCCGGTGTTGGTGATTAAAATTGATTTTGTAAGTATAATCTGTAAACGTTTTTTTTATTTTATATACTAAACATTATTTTAATTAAATTATAAAGTATAAAGAGTAAAATTAGCAAGTAATAAACGCTTGTGAAGAAGGAAATTGTAAATTTTCATAGTGAACAATGCGATTTCACTTCGTTCAGACATTTCCGTTTATTCATATTAAATTTAAGAGTGTTTATTCATTTTTAATGTTTTTAAATGACAGTTAATGCGATATTACTCGCAATAGGACGTTTTCTTTAAGATTTGGTTCAAAATTTTATAACTTTTTTTTCGTATTTTAGACCTGGGTTTTCATTTCGTTTTGCTTGCTTAATCTGATTGTCAATATAGGGTAAGAGGTAAGATGAATTATAAGTAGGGCAAGGGTAGTGCTAATATTGTCTCAACTAGAACACAATTAACCGGGGATAGAAGTATAGGTAAATTGCTTATATACATAGGCATACACAAATTACCTAAAAGTAACTTCTACCTAATCCGGTACCATACAATTATCCAGTCTGAATGAGATGGTTGAGATCTTATTGCAACTGTAGACCATACCCATAAGAACAAAAAGGTCAAAGGAGCCATACCACTATGTGTGAGACTTTGCAAGATACAGGCCTTTAAAATTGGCCTACTTCCAGAAATCTTGCAATTGTGAATTGCGTCACTCTGCTAAGACATTGTGTTTAAATGTTTAGTCCGCGCAATTATGCGAGCTTTGAGTAATTCACTTGCGGTATTTGGGGATGTGTGAGCAATACATGTGGAGAATTGGTTGAGGTGAGTGATGGCAGGCCTTAACCAACATGGAGCATGGAGAATAGACAGTATACTGGTTTATGTAAAAACTGACCTTTGGAAGTGAATTTCTCATGAAGTATCACATGTACAAGTATGGTTCATTGACATTTTGTTCATACGGGATGTTTTATAACTCTAGGGTTGGTAAATCCCTCATTGAAGTTCACATCTTACCTCTGGTATTATATGGCAAATCTTAATTTGTAGGCAAAACTTTTAAAAAGTGCTATATCAAAAAATTTTTTACATCTAAAGGGTAAGATTCTAGCTCCATGTGAGACTAGGGAACCCCAGGATTGTCTTTCTTCTGTTTGTGTGAGGGGCATGATTTTGTTCATTCTGAGGCTTAATGACTTCTATGCTTTTCATAGAAAACTTCTGAAATTTTGCAAGGAGATTTGTGTGTTAAGGGATTGATGCTGTTAAATTTTTGTGATTAGAATGATTCACCACAACTCTGTTGGGCTCATGGGATTCAAAGGTCACCTTGCCTGCAATAATCCAACCCAATTTAGAACTCAATGCAAATGGACAGCTCATACTATGTTTAATTAAATTTCCATTGATTAACGACAGAAATACATTTACGCCAAACAGGATATCTATGTTCCTTGAAATATAAAAGAAAGGATCGGCCAAAATAAGATCACTAAATTCAGTACAAATCTCTGAAGGTAATGAAACATATGGAAGCTTTTCTGTGACTCTTTCTATTACAAAGGCAGAAGTATAAGCATGCAGTTCACTTTCAAAATGTGAAGTGAATATCAATTCAACCTCTCCATTGCTTGTAGTGGTGAATGCGCCTAGACATGAAACCGAAATTGTACTGTCCCTTACATTTAATCCTAATTTTGTCACACACTCTTTAGAAATAAATGATCTCTGACTTCCTGAGTCTAATAAACATCGACATTCTACCCATTCGTTGTTTGAATTTAAAACCTTAATTTGAGCAGTACATAATAGAACTTGGTTGTTTACATTCTTTCTTGACCCTCCACAATGTGAGGCACAAATTGACTTACAAATTCTTTCTTTCGTCATCTCAGGAATAGCTATACTTGAATTCATGGATGGAAGGCTGGTTTGTGGTTTTGACTTGAAGTCTACCTTAGAGATGAAATTTCTTTCCCTTCCATAACACAAGAGTGAGTTGTGTCTTCTCTTGCAGTTTAAACAAGAAACATTGACTGACCAATTTCTCACTCTGTGATTTTTCGACAAACAATTAAAACACAAACCTTCCCTTTTTGCTAACTCTATTCTGTCCTGTACCTTAAACTTTTGAAATTTAGCACATTTGTATAAAGCATGGTCTCCCTTACAGCATGCACATTGTCCCTTCGTTTGAGACGAGAGAGATGTAACCTTAGGCATGAATCTTTTATTCATCTGTGTTTTGGTTCTAACATGACCCTTCAAAAATTCTAATAAGTCATTTAATAGAGGAATATCATCACCTTTAAGTGAGCGCTCCCACCAGCCTCTGGTTGTTGCATCCAATTTAAATTGAATAATGAACATAAATAATATGCTCAAACTCATCTATATTAAAATTTAGAGCTTCTAAGGATTGAATATACTCTGTAGTTGAGTCAACAATATTTNGAAAGTATAATTTTTACTTGTTTTTTAACTAAAAATTTTTTATTTTTAGTGTGTCAAAATAAAAAAAAATTGCTAAGAAGGAAACTGAATTACCAAATAATTCCAAGAATGATTTAATGAATGATGAGATGCAAGTTGAAAATGAAGAATCAAGTATGTTAAAGAAAAAAGTGAAGAAATGTAAAGCCAATGAAGAACACGAATCAGCTGATACATCAACAAAGAAAAACAGAAAGATGATACTTAAAAGTGAGGAAAATCAGACTGAATATTGCCAGACATTAAAACAAATGGATGACAATGATGAAAAAATCAGAAATTACAAAATACATCAGCAAAGAAAGTAAAGAAACAAAAACTGTTAACAACAAAGAAAAAGAATGTAAAAAATCAATTAAAATAAAGAAAACAACTTGATTTCAGAACCTGAATTGATATGCCTACAATACTGTTTAATTTTTACGTAAAATAATTTTAAAAGTTATGATTAATATACTTTTAAAACACAATTTATTAATATATATTTTTATTTAGTAAATTTTAATAAATTGTTACATAATTGAATAATTAATTCTTTTTTGTTTTATTAAATTCTACTACTTCAACCTCTCCGTCGGGATATACTTTAACACGACCGTTTGTTAAAGTAGTTAATTCATCTTCAATTGGTTCGTTGGAAACCACCGATGTTGGTAAATCTACTTCGTTTGGCGATTCAAGAGATACATAAAATGGTATCGCAAGAGACTTAGCACATTTAATATGCAATGTTTTGATATTCCGCCAACCACCCTGAACACTATCCGAAAATTTCTCAACAGCAGTAATAATGTTCTTGACCAATTCAGTTTTTGGCTGAGAAATATGACCAACACAAACAGTACAAACAGAACCTTTCCCTTTGACAAAGCACATACAATAAGCTAATGCATTAGTAATTTCCTTTTTTAAATTTTTAGAATTTATGTTAATTCGACGAGGTATTTTATTAGCATTGACAAATTTACCCAATGCCGCAATGACTGAAGCAAGTGTTTTCCTGTCTGTTAGAAATGTATCATAAGCATTACATAGTTTTCGTCTCGCTTCATATTCTTTATAATCAGTATTCAATTCACGTAGAGATACGACCCCAGAAATACACGTGATCTCATGTTTTTGTAACAGTTCTTTATAATGACGAACAGTTTCTTCCGGATCAGCACGTGGATTCTTTTTATCCAAATCTCTGGTAATCAGACAAACTTCACCGACTCCATTTTCTAAATTCCAATGTGGTAAATAAATCTTAACTGCCTTACTTTTAATTTCAGGGATCTTCTTCAATCCAATCTGTAAAAATACTTTTTCCGAATGTTCATCATCTTCCAGCAATTTAGTTTTTCTGTTTTCATTCTCTTTCCATAATTTTTCAACCTTTTTTAAAGCTAAAACAGCTTCACTAATTTGAACTTTCGACACACCAACACGTGAGTCCGCCATATTGTACAACTAGCGCCATCTGCTTAAATTGATTATCGTGTTAACAAATTACATATTTATTTAAATTGATTGTCCTCAAAAATACAAAATAATACAAACTTACTTAAATCAGCAAAACAACATTATTTTAATAAATCAGCTTAATTTTCAGCCATTTTAAATGACCATCATTAGGCTGTTCTACAGGATCGAATGTTTTAAAAAATTTCAACAGAACTTGGAACATCAAACGTGTAAGTAGCGAACAAATTTAAAAACCGAGAATATATGAGAACATATAATGTATTTTTGTATCCTATTTAATTTATAAGTAATAGAAAATTACATTCAAATTATAGATACACAGAGGTTTCATGTAAAGATCTCCATGCCAGGAAAACTGTGTTTCGGTCATTATACAGTACAGTAATTGACAGATGCGTTTTGTCGCGTAGATTTATAAATCTCGGTACTCTTTGGTTAATTAACCAAAGAGTACCGAGGACAGTAGTCATTTTTGCTACTATTTTTAGTAAAATCGATGTTTTATTTCGTAATTCATACATGTTTTAAAATTGAAATACTGAACAATTAATAAACTTACTACAATTATTTTTGAGTATTTCAGGGTTCGCAAAATTTATACTTGCAAACGTTCGTATCCGTCTTCTTCTAATTCGTCAGTTTTGTGCGCTTTCCAAGTCAGAAAATATTATATTTCTTTCTTTTACAGTATTTCGGGTTAAAGTCCAGATACGTATACCGTCATGGCGGCTCTTCTCTGATTCCAGTAAACAGTGGGGACTCACGTTCTAACCTAACCTAACCTATTCTAATAATTTGGTTGGTAATAATTATGGTAATTTATTAGAATAGGTTAGATTAGGTTAGAACGTGCGTCCCCACTGTTTCCTTTCTTTTGTTTGCTGGAATCAGAGACGAGCCGCCATTTTACTCACCATAGGTAACATTAACTGCACAATTATATCATGCTATCACCAGAAAAAGTAT